GAGGCCATTATTAGGAATCTGGATTCAAAGTAGGGCGAGCAGCTGGGACATAAACTGACACCTATATGGGATGCTGGCATCACAGGTAGTGGCTTTACCCACTACGCCACAATGCTGGCCCCACTGTTGGTTTTGATGTTGATATATTCTGGATTCAAATCATTTTGGGAGATGATGAATTCAAGTATTTATTATATTTGTCAGTCTTTTCATTCTATTACTGCTTTTTTTTCCAGAGTAAAAGTTCTCAATTTTTATTTAGTTCAGGTTATCATCCTTTTGCTGTTGCATCTGAAGAACTTTGCCTAATTTAAGATATTTTGTGTTGTCTTTTTTTTAAAGATGTATTTTATTTATTTGAAAGGCAGAGAGAGGTAGAGACAGAAAGAGAGGTCTTCCATCCACTGTTCACTCCCCAGATGGCTACAACAGCCGGAGCTGTGCCAGTCTAAAACCAGGAGCCAGGAGATTCTTCTGGGTCTCCCACTTGGGTGCAGGGGCCCAAAGCCTTCGGCCATCTTGTACTGGTTTCCCAGGCCATAACAGAGAGCCAGATTGGAAGAGGAGCAGCTGGGACTAGAACCAGCGCTTCAGGCCATGGCTTTAACCCGCTGCACCACAGTGCTGGCCCGCTTGTGTTGTCTTGTTTTACATTTAGATCTATGGTCCCTTTTAATTTTTGTATAAGCTATTGTTAGCCTTCCACAGGCACAGGTTCTGTGTCCATGGATTCAATCAACTGCAGGTTGAAAATATTTGGAAGAGAAAACTGGGTCTGTACTGAACATGTACAGTCACTATTGCCATATTCCCTAAACAAGATGGTATAACAACTATTCATACTGCTGTTACATTATACTAGGAATTTTAAGGATGTACTTATTTGAAAGGCAGAGAGAGGGATTCGATCCCTTTGTTCACTCTCCCAATGCGTGCAACAACCACAGCAGGGCCAGGCCAAAGCCAGGAGCCAGAAACCCAATCCATGTGCGTGGCAGGGATCCAAGTACTTGGGCCATCATTTGCTGCTTTCCAGGGTGCACAAGAGCTGGAGTCAGGAGCTGGAGTCAGATACTGAAGTTGGGTTCTCTGATGTAGGACTTATTTTTTTTTTGAAAGATTTATTTATTATTTGAAAGGCAGAGTTGGAGAGGCAGATTTAGAGGCAGAGAGATATTTCATATGCTGATTCACACCCCAAATGGCTGCAATGGGCAGAGCTGGGTGGGTGCAGGGGCCCAAGGACTTGGACCATCTTCTGCTTTCCCAGGCCATAGCAGAAGAGCTGGCTTGGAACTGGACTCAAACCAGCAACCATATGGGATGCCGGCACTGCAGACAGCGGCTGTACCCTCTACCCCACAGCGCTAGCCCCAGGGCTTAGTCTTAATCCATAGCTTTAACCACAAGGCTAAACCCCCACCCCTAGACTTACCTTGTAATTCTATTTACCTTTGACCTTTTGAAGTCTCCTTAAGTGTAAGATGTAGTAATTCCTTTTTCATTGCACATCTTGGAAATACATAATTCCATTTTTTTAAAAAATCAGTATCAGATCTCTTGATTATTGTTCACTTCAATTGATTCTACTCTTATCTATAATTTCCTTCCTTCTACTAACTTTTACTTTAGCTTTTCAGGCAAGAGAGACCTGATTTAAATCTGTCAATCTTTCTAAGCTTTAAATGATGCCATTCTGGCTTCTGGCTTCAATGTGGCCTAACTCTAATTATCATGGGTATTTAGGAAGTGAACCAATGGATGGAAGCTCCCTTTCTGTCTGCCTTTCAAATAAATAAATAAATTTCTAAAATATAGTAGTTGTTGGGTATAGTGTTAGCCAAGTTCATTATAATGTTGTTTTATATGTGTATTTCTGATTTTTTTCTTTGGATATTTTAACAGAGAATAATATGTAAATCTCCAGTCATGCTTGTGGCAGGCTTATTTCTCCCTTTAGTTCTGTTGGTTTTTAGTTCTCCATTATTTTGACACTATTATATAAAATTTTAAAAAGATTTTTTGCTCATTTATTTGAGAGGTAGAGTTACAGACAGTGAGAGGGAGAGACAGGGTCTTCCATCTGCTGACTCACTCTTCAAATGGCTGCAACTGCCAAAGCTAGGAAGATCTGAACCAGGAGCTGCTTCTGAGTCTCCCATGTAGGTGCAGGGTCCCAAGCACTTGGGCCATCTTCTCTTGTCTTCCCAGGTACATTAGTATGGAGCAGCTTTGGAAGAGGAGCAGCTGGGACTAGAACCAGCGCCCATATGGGATGCCAGTGCCACAGGCAGAGGATTAACCTGCACCACAGTGCTGGCCCCTATATATTTATTTTTAAAGTACACCTCTTACAACATATAAGTTGGCAGGACAACACATAGTCATTTTTATTAATAGTCTGTTTTAGAGCAGTTCTAGTTCAGAAAAATTAAATGGTACAGTTCTCGTATACCCCCACCACCACACATGCCCACAGAGCCTCTCCTATGTTCAACATCCCAGACCCAAGTAGTATGTCACAGTAAACAACCTTTCACTGACATATCCTGACCAAAGTCTGTATCTTGTATTAGGGTTTTTGAATTTTGAAAAATATGTAATGTATATTCAGCATTATAGTATCATTTACTATAGTTTCAGTGCCATAAAAATCATTTGTGCTGAACCCATTCATCTTGCCCTCCTCTGCAACCGTTGGCAATCACTCATCTTATTTGCTGTCCTGACAGTTTTACCTTTTCTAGAATGCCACACTGTTGAAATCATATAGCAGCCCTTTCAGAGTGGCGTCTTTAACTTAGTAATAAGCATTTAAGTTTCCTTCTTTTCTATTTATGGCTTGGCAACTCTTTTCTTCTTAATGCTGAATACTCTATCACTTCTAATTCTACCACATTTTTTTTAGAAGGTTTATTTACTTGAAAGTCAGTTACACAGAGGAGAGGCAGAGAGAGAGAGAGAAATCTTCCATCAGCTGGTTCACTCCCAAGATGGCCGAAATGGCTAGAGCTGTGCTGATCCAAAGCCAGGAGCCAGGAACTTCCTCCATCTTCTGTTTTCCAGGCCATTGTGGAGATCTGGATCAGAAGTGGAGCACCCGAAACTTGAATCAGCACCCATATGGTATGCCGGCACTGCAGGGGATGGCTTTACCTGCTACGCCACAGGGCCGGTCCCTCTGTCAGTTTTTAATCATTCACCAACTGAAGGGCACCTTGGTTGCTTCTAAGATTTGGCAATTATAAAACAAGCTGCTATAGATAATCTGTGTGTAGGTTTTTGTGTGAATATAAGTTTGGGTAAATACCAAGCAGCACAATTGCTTGATCATATGGTAAGATAGTGTTTGGTTTTATAATAAACTGCCAAACTGTCTTCATAAGTGACTGTACCATTTTGTATTCTCACCAGCAATCAACAACAGTTCATATACTCACTAGCATGTGGTGGTGGTCTGGATTTTTGCCATCATGCTAAGGTGTAATTGTATCTGTTTTATTTTGGAATTACCTAATGACATAAGGTATCTTCAGAAGTTCATAGAAGATGAGTATTAAAAAAATTATGCAAGGATTTCAAGTCTTTGTACCAAAATAAATTTCTAATTCTACTTTCCATGGATTTTAAGTATCTCTATTTTGTTTTTTCCATATGCATACTCGCCATATAATTTACATATATAAATTATATAATTTTGGTATGTACCATTTTGAGAATCCTGGGGTTCTAAACTGCTGTCGTTCAGTGTCTACAAATACCTGCCCACAAATATTTTGTCCAGGCTTAAAATTGCTTTTTGCTGATAGTTATGGTAAGGAAAAATTGCTTTTGCAAAAACAGAGATCCTTTAGGAAACACAGAATATCCTTCCAATTCTATTCATGGCCTTTTATTTATCTGACATCAAATTCTCTAATCATAATAAATTAACTATGTCCATGTCCTTTAATAATTCCTCACAGTAAAAAATAAACAGATGCTTTGGTAGGTCATTACATGTTGGCCATACACAATTCAAGACAGTAACCAAGGTTTCAGTCTCGTAAACAAGACATGCTAGCACGCACGTTCCTCGTTTCCTTTATTGAAATATGTCTGAGGTGAACCGTAAAGTGGAGCATTCAGAAGTAGAGGTGAAAGGCTAGATTTCCTTTTTGCTCCCATTATCACCCTGGAGCACATACAATATTTTGGGAAAAATCGGATAAAATTCAGTGTATAACAGATCTCACAAAAGTTACCTTTTCTAGAATTCTTTAATTATAAGCTATGAAAAAATGAATTTGTTTAAGACCAGTAATTTTAGAAACAAGTCAACTGAGCTTTTCATGTCATTTCACAGGGTATTTAAGTTAGAAAGAGAAACAGGTGGCTCAGTTCTGTCTGTCCTGTGTTGCTTAGAATTGGTATTAGTGTGAAGACCGTCTTTTCTGTCAGTCTGAGTTGTAACTATCTGGCTAGGGGACAAAGTATGACTCTACCAGCAGTCTAGGATGGGTAGGCTGCTGAGGTTTGTGGCAGGAACAAATGTTTGATATGCTTCTTGTCCTTGATAGTAAAGATTAGGGTGTGACAAATATTTCTATAAAGGGCCAGATAGGTTTTGCCAGCCACAAGTTTTCTGTCAATACTTCAGCTCTAATGATGTAGCACAAAAGCAGCCATACATAACATGTAAACAAATGAGCATAGTTGGGCTCCGACAAACTTTATTTACAAAAACAGGAAGCTGGAATTTGGTCCAAAGAGCAATAGTTTTCTGACCTGGGTGTACAGATAACTCAGATAGCAAAAGTTTAACTATGTTCTCAGATTCATAAAATGTTCAAGTCCTTGAAAAAATGTTATTCTGTTTTACAAATACCAATTTTTATTGAGTGAGATAAAGTTGCTTGTTGCTGCACATTTCCTCCAAGTAACTAATTTCCACATGTACCAAGTCGTGCATTATTTTGCTTTCTAGAACCTCCAAAATGAAACCTCCTTTGTCTTAACAGATAAACACTACACCTGGAGAGTGGTGAGGGGGAGCACTGACTACTGCAGTGGCCTCTGGACAGAACACGCTGGGCGACATCACGTGGACAAAACCTGCCCTGGTTGCTTTCCCAAAGATGCTGAAGTAGTCATTTTCTATTGCTTGCTTTCAAACTTCTTCACATAACATGGGTTGCATCAAATCAAAGCAAACTTTCCCATTTCCTACCACATTTGAGATTGAGAAGCGGCATGAAAGTGAAGAAAGCTTCATGCCAGAAGAGAGATTGCTGCCCAGGCCTTCTCCAGCTAACGTCAAAGAGGAAGTGAAGGAACCCCCGGGGACCAATACTGTGATCTTTGAATATGCACATCGCCTGTCCCAGGAAATCTTGCATGATGCCTTGCAGCAGTGGGCAAGAAATAACATCAAGTACTACGACATCCCTTACATCGAGAGCGAGTGCCCTTGATGCTGCTGGAGGGCGACACTGAGTCGGTGCTAGTTTAAATACATGAAACAAAGTAAAACTTGGTGTAAGTACAAATAATTCCACCTGGATATGCAAACACGTATGTCACCAGTTTAGGAATATGTAAGATGAAACACATTTGAAACAGTTGTGTGTTAACAGCAATGTTCATCTGCCTGGTCTTGGAGTTTGGTCATTGTGAGGGGCTGAACAGAGTTCCCATGGGATTCAGTAATTATCTGCCTCACTCTTTTCCTGAGGCAGTTATGGCATAACCATAGAAAATGCTAAAGATTAAACAAGCCCACATCCCAAGTGGTTTTTTAAAGGCACTCCACTTTAAAAGATATGCCTTTTTCTCAAATATGCCTTGGCATGCGGATGGCACTCAAGCCTTGGTGAACAGTGTGACACAGATGACCTGGCATTAGAAAGCAACCAGTGTAGAAGGGGTCCACCTCAAACTCTGTCCTTAAGATGTTATTTTTGTAGATGAAAGCTTAACTACCACCTTGAACCTCAGGGCCCTAACTAACTACATTTATTATTGGATGTCTTGGACTTTGCCTATAAAGCCATCTCAAAAAGACAGAATTTACAGAAGCCATGATATTACTGTTTATTGCTTTGAATTAAGCAGCCCAGGGATATAACTATATGAAATACATATGGGTAACTTTTATCTAGTCAACCTTAAACAGTCTAAGCTGCAAGGCAGAAAGCAGAACCTGGTTCAGTGCTAACTGTGTATACAGCTTTACTGTGTCACATGCAGATGTTCATATGGGCAACCTGCTCCCAGTTTTTTAAATGAGTGGTGGGCAGTCACCATTCAAATTACTGTGGTACCAAATAATGTATAAGGATTTATAGCACTAAACAGAAAGAACAATCCTCTAAGGACTGTACTTGTGTTTGTGGATGTGTGTGTTAAGGATGTAACATATGCCATGGAACATTTTTAGCCCTACACTATATAGTATTTTCATGAACTTGGCTGCCTTTGTAGGATGCTAGCTATTCTTAAATTCTTTTTCATTTTTTTTTTTTTTGTCACGCATGCTTATACACACACCTTTTTTTTAAGGATTATATACTATTTGGAGATCAAGGCTAACAAAATTTAGGAGAAGAGACTAGGAAAATTAGTGCTGAGTCTAATTCAGAATCAAGATTTCCTATACATTGAGTTTAACTGGAAAGAAAATTATTTAATAAGCCCATATGTGCAATTTCCTTTTTTGAAGACAGAATACAGCAGTGTCACTGAAATATAAAGAAAGGCAGAAAAAGGCCTATGGTCTCTTTAATGTGATGAAGCTATATTCGGCCTTGTAAGCAGGCAGAAAAGCTACCTCTGATTTTCCTACTTTGAAACCCGAATTCTCCAAATGACATTAGCAAAGAAAAAAGTATTAAACGAATGATGTGCCCTTTCAGTTGCTTTTGGACACTTGTCCTAGGACTTGCACTGCTCCACTATATACTTGTAGTCTAGCAACTTATGCAATAGAAAAAGATCCATTCCTGTTTATACAAGGATATGAAAGCATAAAGCTAAGGCAGAAAGTACAAAACGTACTTCAAGCTTATGAAGAGAAGTTTGGGGTTTTCTCATAAAAAGCCTAAATGTTTTTCATTCATTTTGCATCTAATATGAAGATATTACCAGCAAGGTAATTAAGTATATAAAAGACAAGGGTGAGAACAAGCCATTATAAAGCAGAATGTCACTAAATTTAAAATTTAGGGGCACAGATGTGTGTTTGTTATATCTAGGTATTTGAACTTGAGGTTTCCTCTTTCCCAGGGGAGTAATAGGGAGCCCTGCCTGATCCACATCTAGCTTAGAAGTCTTTGTTTTTCTTTCTCTCTGCAAATATGATGGCTTAGTTTGTCACCATGCAGTACTCCATTGACCCCGAGTCATATTTTAAGTGTATGGTATTGTGGGTACAGTATCTTCCAAGAGACTTATATATGCTATAGTCCATGTAAACACATGAACAAGGAACTATAAGGCTTGTATAATCGGTGAGTTAGTAGATTGGAGGTAGGCGGGAGGAGGAGAGAGCTAAGTCAACAAATTTATATTACATGTGATAGTTACCTCATCAAAACCTTGATGACAAGATGAATGAGAATAGCTTTGATAGCATGTCTTCTGAACCTTTATACTGAAATATTGGCTTTGCTTCATTTTGACTGTCTTTCATGAAAAGTAAAGAGTAGAAGGACTGTTTGGGAAGGAGACATAGAAAACAGAAGAATGAAAAAAAGTTTAGCTATTGAAAAGGGAACCATTTGGAACATCCAGTGTAGGGGTAGCTTAAGAGGAATAAGTGTGCCAATTCCTTATTTACAAAGTAACAGAACCCCGTGAACACACTGCAGTGCTACCTTTGTTACTTGCCTTTGCTCTTGGAACTCTTCACTTTTAGTTGCCTTACCAGTTCTTCACAAACTCTATGGTTATTAGCACTAACAGCACAATTTTGAAAGGGACAAAAATAATTATCTTAGTTCCAAAGGAATAATTTGTGTCAAACTGCCTTATTGTAAAAGTATACACAATGAAGTAGCATGACCCCTCATATCCTTGATATTGTTGACATTTTATGAGGTAGTAGGAACTATACTTTTGTATTTCATAATTTTAGAAATAAAAATGTAGAGACATTATAACTTTGTACTTGCTTAATCATGCTATGCCCAGTCTGATTATGAACTCACAAATAGGATATGTTTTCCTCAAAGCCACAGGCGCTGGCATCGAATACCTTCCCTGTAGGACGTAGCTATGAAGTGGTATATTTTTTCCAAATATTTCTGTGAAAGCGTTTTTTTGTAACTGCAATAAAAATCCAGTTGCAATTAACTAGCTATGAATCCTTATTTAACTGGAATAAGCAAATACTTTCCAATACTGTGTACCTGCCAACTGGTAAACAATATAAAGGATTTTTTTCTGCATTAGTAAAGTGAGTAAAAAATCCATTTATACAACTAATTTCTTCAAACATTCAGGTCCATTTTTCAGAACTTTCAGAATATAAAGGTGTCCATCATGGCATCTTTATTACAGGTATGTTCTTGGATTTTTGGCAGAAAAAGATTAAGCACTGAGAAAACTTAAAGCAGTAACTTCTGGGTTGCAATTTCCTTATTTAAGAGAAGGGTAGAGCACATATCTTTTATGTCTCTCTTGTTCTTACAAACATGAAATTCTCAGTTTCTGAGGGGTTGGGGATGAAAGATAAACTAACCTTTTAATAAAGTATTCTTACCTAGAAATTTAAAGTACTGAGTCTGGAACACCTTGAAATTTCTTGCATACCTTAAGCACTTATTTTGTCAAATTATTGGAAGATTTTCTATTTTGAAAAAATCTTTACAGTTAATTATCTTTAAACAAGGTTCAAATCAAGAAGGAAAAAACTATCACACAAACTTTTGCTGCAGACAGCAGAGTGTCTCTCAGAGATTAGAGTTTTCTAATTTCTCATTGTCAGATTAGCAAATAGTTAAGTAACAAGAAATTTTGCCATCGGAAGGTATTCAGTTACTTCAGGGAAGGCCAAGGCTGAGTTAATTATACTAGAGAAATACCTTAGTAACATTTTATGTGGTTTGATATCTAATGTTTACAACTGGCAGAAGAGTTCCTTTAAAATGCACACATATGAAGGAATCTGAGATATTTGAATACAAAAAACAATTCGGGGTTTATTTTTTTTATAATCTATTCCTGATGAGTTTATTTACTGAACATACAAAACACTACCAAAAGCCAAATTAAGTTCACATGTCAATAAGATCTGATGAAAGATCTTTGAATTTTCTCATCTGCTACAACAGATGTTGGCAAACTTTTTCTGACAAAGACCAGATAATAAACATTTTAGACTTTGCTGGACATGCAAAATAGCCATAGACAGCAAACAGATAAATACAACTATGTTCCAATAAAGCTTTGCTTATGGACACTGATATTTTAATTTCGTAATTTTCACACCATGATATACTGGTCTTTGATTTCTCTTTCCAACCACTTAAAAAAATGCAGAAAGCACTTTCAGCTTGCAGGCTATAAAAAACTAGACAGCAGGCCTACCTGCTATAGTTTGACAACCCCTGCTCCAAAATGTACCTTAAGAAGCCAGTCACCTCAAAATTTTAAATCATTGCTTCCCAGAGATTTAAAATGATTATTCAAATCTTCATCGGTAACTTCTTTTAGAGTAGCTGGTTTCCACTTTGGATTCTGGTCTTTATCAATTAAAACTGTCAAGAGAAGACACAGATGTTAGTGTATTTCTTTTTGATATTACCAAATTTTAATTACTTGAAAGAAACTGTCTTATTTGGGGATATTTTTCCTATAGCACATTTTATTCTGCAAAATTTGTGTACATGTTCTATTTTTCTTTTAAATCTCCAGACTCTGGATGTATAGCAGTTTATTTTTATGACCAATGTAGATATTTTCTAACCTCCTAAGCCTCATGCTTCTAGTATTAATAAACTCTACTGAACTAATCCAGTGTTTAAAACTGTAGAACTTTTTTTTCTTCAGTCATAAATGAAATCTCCATGTTACCAAAAAGCATAAACCAGAGTTGGTTTTAAGGAGGACAAGGGAGGGCAGAGGTCCCAGATCAGCCTTTTAACTGCCTCCACATTGGGTTTTGGGAGGAAAATTAAAAGCTTAAGGTAGAAGAAAGGGGAATTTGTACATAATTAATTGTGGATACTGCTGTTCTGCTGAGTCCTGTAGTTCAGACAGCTCTGAACGAGAAAGTCAGACCACAATTACTTAGGTTATCACAAAACCTTCTGCTTCCATTTCAGCGCAGTCATCACTTAGTGTAGCCGCACAGCATCCCCACAGGATCTTAAGTATGAGGCAATCTGTAACTTCTAAAAACAGAGGGCCATGTCCATTTCCTGGCTGTGGTAATACACTGTACTTACACAAATGTTACCATTTAGGAAATTGCATGGAGGGTACACTGGACCTCCTTCTTAAAACTACATATTAGTCTACAATTACCTTAAAAGGTTTAAAAAAGCAAAGTTTGGATGTGGTAGCAAATATCAACCATGCTTAAAATGTGCTTAATTCTTGGGCAGGATGGAAATATTTAAATAAAAACACTCTATAATGAACTGGAAAAATCTAAAGTAGCATTAAAAGGCTAAAGAGTTAAACAGCCTAGGAAGCAAGGAAGAAGGGTGTGTTGGCAGGTAAAGGGAAGGAAATTTTATACACAATGAAATGTGGCTAGCAGAGCTTTTTGAAGGTTTGGCTACCCGCTACCGGATTTGGTATCAGATCAGTGGTGATATTAAACACTGTTGTGCTGATCCCCATCAATTTAAAAGTTTTGTATTCCCTGGACAGTGTAAACAAAGAATAATCCTGGGACCTTCTTTCTACAAGAATTTCTTCCCCTCTAAGTGTTCTAGCCAATTCTATTTCCTTGAGATTCCACTGAGGGGCAAAAGGAAAGGCAATATTAATCCAATCAGTATGTTACTTCAAGCTAACAACATTTTGTACCTAGAATAATATAGCTTAAGGCAGTTCAGATTTGTCAGGTTTTCTGAGAGATCCACAATCAAATTCCATATGGTAGATTTCTGTCGCTGCAAAGGTACTCTTTATTTTCATCTAAAATCTGAAGTTTATTCTGTATGTTAAAGGTAAGTTTTTTTAAACAACCATTCTCTAATTTGGTAACATTTTTATAATTACCACATTGTATCAAACATTTGATATCTAAGAATTTTAACAGTCCCACCCACACTAGATCACTGCTTTCTGAACAGAGGCTATGCTGACAGGAGGCAGCAATACACTCACTCTCTATTAAAAAGGAAGTTGATAAGCACTTTTTTAATGATATTGTTTGGCTTTACCTCTTTTTCCTTAAAACAACTGAGTATGTACCAAAAAGTAATACCTTTCTTTTTAAGAAGGGCTACTCTAACTTGTAATGAATATTAACAACCCAGATAGTACATGGGTCCTTCTAAAACCAGAATTTTAGCCTCTGATCCACATGGAGCAAGAATGTACAAGGAATTAGTGGAGGAAATGCACAATTCAGTTGGTTTCTATAACACATACAGCCATCTCTTTTGATTCAACCTCATGTGTTTGGTTTTTTGTTGTTTTGTTTTGACAGGCAGAGTGGACAGTGAAAGAGAGAGACAGAGAGAAAGGTCTTCCTTTTTTTGCCGTTGGTTCACCCTCCAAATGCCGCCGCAGCCAGCATACCACGCTGATCCGATGGCAGGAGCCAGGTGCTTCTCCTGGTCTCCCATGAGGTGCAGGGCCCACGCACTTGGGCCATCCTCCACTGCACTCCCGGGCCATAGCAGAGAGCTGGCCTGGAAGAAGGGGAACTGGGACAGAATCCGGCGCCCCGACTGGGGCTAGAACCCGGTGTGCCGGCACCGCAGGTGGAGGATTAGCCTATTGAGCCACGGCGCCGGCCAACCTCATGTGTCTTCTAGAAGGATTTTGACGTTAAGAGAATTCTACCACAGTGATCATTGTTTATCACAGCTTAGAGCTCAGAGTACATAACATCTTATATCCAGTCTGTACTATATTAAATGATTAATAAAACTATAAGAAAATTAAATATGCCAACTAAATGTAGAGAAAAGCAACTCATTTCATAGAACACAAATAATAGCTCTTTACAGAGTTAAGCATTATATATATGAAGGAATTGTTTCCTGGAGTGGGGGTATCAACCACAACACTTGCTCTTTCTACAATGCTGACTTTGGAGATAAGCAAAAATGGAAAGTGTCATGGTTTTTCCCAGCAATGTTTAACTGCTCAGGTACAGAAAAAGAGGTACAAGGCAAGGCTCAACACTGCTCGATTTTTGCTAAGACAGTACAAAAAGGAGAAGGGTAGGGGACTTGAGAACTTTTGTAAGGGAACAAATGCACCTTTCAAAGGCCTCACCAGCAGGTTGAGTTTACAAGTTGATCCTGAACTTACTAGAGGCAGTCCACGTGACTCTAGGAGCAGGAGTACTGCTTACATAAAGGTCTTCAAAGTGTTCATGGGAAATGTAGCAGGAAAAAACTATCCATGAATTTCAAAACTTTTGCATCAACAAAACCCTTATCTGGTACTTTCACTTTCAGAAACTGTTTGAAGCATTTTATATAAATTAGGGAGCAGCAATAAAGTTATGAATTTTTAAAACAGTATTAGTTTCAAAGACTGATCTCTTATATCCCAGATTGTAACAATAAAAACACCCCCAAGTAGGAATCTTTATAAAGTTTGATTTTCATTAACAACTCTTATCTTCAATTAACAGAATATACTCACAAATCCAATTTCTCTAAGAACCAGGGATGAAACAACCATTTGTCACTTACCAGCTCTAACGCCTTCATGAAAATCGTGACTTCCCTGAAAGAAAATTACAATTAAATGGAATAATTTCTAGGCATCCTTATTCCTGGTGATCTTACATCTCCTCCTCTTACATCGGCCTCCCAGTTCCATGACAACCTGAACTGCAACAGTCAGAGACTGGGCCCTGTGATCAGCCACTCTGGGCTCAGCACCTCCCATCGTACTTGCTGAAGTATCTGTGCTACATCCTTGACCTCGCTGAGGTCCACTATTCTGCAACTTTCACCCCATCTGTGCTTCACTTTGCTCTTCACCCAGCCCAGCTTCCCCTGTAAATTAATATGATCACTTTCCCTCAACAAAACCCTCACTTCCCTCAGATGTTTTTTCTATTTTGTACCTTATGGCAAAGTGTTGGCACTGAACTCCACCTGTGCCTGCATCTGAACAGCTAAATCTTGCTACAGAAAAAATTATACAACTGGGACTGATATAATTTAAAATTCATGATCACAAATCTCAAGCACGGAAAACTGCACAACCCACAATCTCTTCCTCATTCCCCAAGATAACGATGTGAAGTGTTTTCTGCCTTCTCAGCCTCCACCCTTGGAGCACTTTCTACTCTCACTGTATTCTCAGGTAATGACTTTGACTTCATGGAATGTGCTTCCTCCAAATACTCACTTGGCTCACTGCCTCATTTCTTTGAGGTTGCCATTCAAACAACATCTCAATGAGGTATTCTCTGGTCATCACAACAACAGTTCAACACTTGTCACCCCTTATTCCATATCCTCTTTCCTTGCTTTTTCTCCTTAATCATATACTGTATATTTTATGGAATTATTTTTACTTATTTTGCTTACTTTTTCCTCACAATCTGAGTAGACTAAACTTCAAGAGAACAAAGGACTGTGGCCACAACAGCCAGTGCTGAACCAGGCCAAAGCCAGGAGCTAAGAGCTTCTTCCAGGTCTCCCACGTGGGTAGCTGGGCCCCAAGCACTTAGGCCATCTTCCATTGCTTTTCCCAGGCCATTAGCAGGAGGCTGGACTAGAATCAGAGCAGCTGGGACACGAACTGGTGCCCATATGGGATGCTGGCATAACGTGTGGTGGTTTCATCTGCCAGACCACAATGCTGACCCCATCATGTCTCCATTTTACAGATGAAGTAGCCTGGCCTAGTCAGGGCAGCTGTTAGGCAGTAGACACAAGACAAGTGAAACCAGATAGACTTTGACCACTGGCCTATATACCTCATACCCTCCATGTTTTTCATTGCACTTCTAGTGTAGTGCACACCTTGGTTGAAGTGATATTACCTTCCTTCCTTCTCTCAGCAAACATGTTAGCTATATGCCATGCATATATCATTGAGATATTGTTTGAATGGCAACCTCAAAGAAATGAGGCAGTGAGCCTCATTAGCAGACTTAGAAGACTGAAGACCTCTTTAACTCTTTCCAACAAATAAATAAATTGGGAAAAAAATGGATTCATGAGTACCTATCCTAGAGACAGTGTAAGATTTAATGGAAAAGCATGCATGTCAGGTGTCTAGCAGAATACCTACTCATGTACTCAATTTATTCCAGCTGCCCTTTACATTCTACAAGGAGTAACTTTAAGATTTGGCTAATGGAGTTTGATTTCCAATTAGATGAACTACTCTGAATATCTTGGTAACCATTCAAGACATTAAAGTCCACTAGGAAGGCCATGAATTTATACATCTAAACAATGCTGCTTAACGGCCTTCTGAACATCGGGGATGATTCTGCCCTTAAATTGTGACTCTGCAATGTTTCATAAAATCTATATTCCATGTGATTACCAATTATATTTATAATGGTACTTTCAATGCTAATCTATTAATTTAGACAAGGAATAAATAAGTTCCATTTGTGCACTTACAAGACAACTCTTCAAAAAGTTCATGGAAAATGCACATTAATACTGTTAGGATTTAAAAAATTTTTTGCACTAAAATTTTTAAATTTTAATTGCCACATACTTTTAAAAGTTCCCTTGCATACATCTGCTTGAAAGTAACAGTCCTCATTTTCTTTTTTAAGATTTATGTATTTACTTCAAAGAGTTACAAAAAGGAGGCCGGCGTCGCGGCTCACTAGGCTAATCCTCCGCCTTGCGGCGCTGGCACACTGGGTTCTAGTCCTGGTCGGGGCGCCGGATTCTGTCCCGGTTGCTCCTCTTCCAGGCCAGCTCTCTGCTGTGGCCCGGTAGTGCAGTGGAGGATGGCCCAAGTGCTTGGGCCCTACACCCCATGGGAGACCAGGATAAGTACCTGGCTCCTGCCATTGGATCAGTGCGGTGCGCCGGCTGCAGCGCGCTGGCCGCGGCAGCCATTGGAGGGTGAACCAACGGCAAAGGAAGACCTTTCTCTCTGTCTCTCTCATTGTCTAACTCTGCCTGTCAAAAGTAAAATAAAATAAAATATAAAATATAAAAAAATAAAAAAATAAAAAATTAAAAAAATAAATAAAAAATAAAATAAAATAAAATAAAATAAAATAGGAGAGGTGGAGTGGGGGTAGATATCTTCCATCTACTGGTTTACTCCCCAAATAGCCACAACAGCCGAGGTTAGGCCAGGCGGAAATCAGGAGCTGGGAACTTTATCCAGGTTGCCCATGTGGATGGCAGATGCCCAGGTACTTCAGCCATCTTCCATTGCTTTACCAGGAACATTAGCAGGGAGCTGGATTAGAAGTGGAGCAGGTGGAACCTGAACCGGCACCTATACAGGGTGTTTAAGTTCACATGCCTGAACACTGGGTTAGAGACCTTTTTATACTTACAAGGAAATCAAACTGCTATTTTGTAAATGTAACTGCTTGTTCCTAATAACAATTTGGGTAGCAATATTTCCACACACCTCTAGATAGTCTTAATTTTCTTATTATAATGTCCTGTAATTTACATGTTCTGCAATGAACATATTACTTTTGTAACTAGAAAACAATAATACTTAAAATATATTCTTCCATTTCAGAAAGGTTTGTGATAGCACTTAAGCTCTGGCTGGAGAGTGGCACCAGTCAGACTAGCAGATCAGTGTCCTGTAAAAGGATGCAAGTGATGGCCAGGGACAGTCAATACGACACCACTACAGTTTGCTGTCACAGATTTTTTTTGGCCTACTTTATCAATATGTAATTCAGTATTTACTAAGCCACTCTTGAGGAAAGAGTGACAGTGGGTGATAACATAAGCATTGGTGTTAAGAGCCTTCTGGCCCAGTAAACTAAGATAATATGGTGATAAATGTGGGTGCCACAGAAGCGCATGGAATGCTCTTACTGTGGACCTGATTTGCAATTACAGTCTTCAGACATGGGCCAGTCTTCACTGTTTTCCAGATAATTCCTGGAAAATGAACTAGGATGATGATAGAGCAAAAGTCTGAAAGAACTTGTTATGCTCCTAGTTTGATGAATGGTCACATTCAGACCACTGTAAAGATGGGTAAAAGCCTGGAGGGGAGTTGGGAACAGATGCTCCTCAGGTGCACTTAAAAGTGCTGGAGTTAGGCTGGCACCGCGGCTCACTAGGCTAATCCTCCGCCTGCGGCGCTGGCACACTGGGTTCTAGTCCCGGTCGGGGTGCCGGATTCTGTCCCAGTTGCTCCTCTTCCAGTCCAGCTCTCTGCTGTGGCCCGGGAGTGCAGTGGAGGATGGCCCAAATGCTTGGGCCCTGCACCCCATGGGAGACCAGGAGAAGCACCTGGCTCCTGGCTTCAGATCAGCGCGGTGCGCCGGCCGCAGCAGCCACTGGGGCATGAACCAATGGAAAAAGGAAGACCTTTCTGTCTCTCTCTCTGTCCACTCTGCCTATCGAAAAAAAAAAAAAGTGTTGGAGTTAGACAAAGGTTTGCAAATAGGTAGGCAAAGCAGCCCTGGGCCTCAAAGAATCAATGTAAGCCACTGGAGGCATGGAGGGGGCTTGCATTGGTGGTGTAGCAGCTGTTCCACTTCCAATCCAAGTCCCTGCTAATGTGCTGGGGAAGCAGTAGAGGATGGGCCAAGTGCTTGGGCCTCTGCCACCCACTGGGAGACCTGGAAGAAGCTCCTGGCTCTGGAACAGCCCAGTTCTGGCTGTTGCAGCCATTTGACCATTTGGGGAGTAAACCACTGGATGGAAGATCTCTGTCTTTCCCTCTCTCACTGTGACTCTGCCGTTCAAATAAATAAGTCTTTTAAAAAAATTAAATAGGGGTTGGCTCTGTGGTACAGCAGCAAAAGCTGTCGCCTGCAGCACTGGCATCCCATATGGGCACTGATTCAAGTCCCAGCTGCTCCACTTTCAATCCAGCTCCCTGCTAGCGTGCCTGGGAAAGCAGCAAAAGATGGCCCAAATAGCTGGGCCTCTGCATCCATGTGAGAGACCCAGATAAGTCTCTGGCTCCTACCTTTGGATCAGCCTAGCCCCATACATTGTGGCCATTGGGGGTGGTCATGGTGGTGGTAAACAGCAGATAGAAAATTCTCTCTATACATAAATCTCTAAAAATAATTAAATAAGGGGCTGGCACTGCGATGTAGTGCGTGAAGCCACCACCAGCAGTGCTGGCATCCCATATGGGTGCCAGTTTGAGTCCCCACTGCTCCACTTTCGACCCAGCTCTCTGCTAGGGCCTGGGAAAGCAGTAGAAGATGCCCAAATTGCTTGGGCCCCTGCACTGGCGTGGGAGACCTGGAGGAAGCTCCAGGCTCCTGGCTTTAGATCGGCACAGCTTCAGCTCTTACAGCCATCTGGGGAAAGAATCAGTGGATGGAAGACCTCTCTTTCTCTCTCTGCCTGTGCCTCTCTACAACTCTGCCTTTAAAATAAATAAATCTTTGAAAAAAAGTTAAATAAACGAGGCAGGGAGAACTCAGATATCACACAGACTAAGAAACCTACACAATGACTGGCCAGTCGAGCTGTTACAGTGAGTAGTAAGAGTGTGGCTATATTTGTTTGGGTTGTGCTTGTGCTGTTTGTTTCTTTAGATTTCATTTGTGTACTCTTTGGTGGAGAGGACAAACCCGCTTTGCAAAACATCCTAGCCATGCTATGATCTTCATAGGTATACTTTATTTGGAAATTTGGAAGAATAAATGTAACCATACAGGAAGAAAAAAAAATTCTTACCATACAAGCTTGACTTAGTCGATATTCCATAGTTAATACTTCTTCCAAGGTCTTTGAAGACCCCTCCGTGAGTTGTCTTAGTGCAATCTTTAAGGATGTTGGAGACATTTTATTAAGTACCTTTTGGGGAAAAATATTTACTGATTTTAGCCCATGAGTTCCTTCATCATCCATAATAAACCACCTGATTTTCTATATAAATCATATAAAATATGTCCCTTAAAGGCACTTTCGTATGTCAAAGTCTCAAAGTTTTTACCTTAGCCTGTCAAAACATCAAACAGAAGTTTTCTGTTATAAAAACAAAACAGTCATTCCATAAGTGGAATAAATTCTGTATATAACTTAAGGTTTAATAAAATAAATCTGTCTTTATAATTAGCCCTTGGGCCGGCGCCGTGGCTCAATAGGCTAATCCTCCACCTTGCGGCGCCGGCACGCCGGGTTCTAGTCCCGGTCGGGGCGCCGGATTCTGTCCCGGTTGCCCCTCTTCCAGGCCAGCTCTCTGCTATGGCCAGGGAGTGCAGTGGAGGATGGCCCAGGTGCTTGGGCCCTGCACCCCATGGGAGACCAGGAAAAGCACCTGGATCCTGGCTCCTGCCATCGGATCAGCACGGTGCGCCGGCTGCAGCGGCGGCCATTGGAGGGTGAACCAACGGCAAAGGAAGACCTTTCTCTCTCTGTCTCTCTCTCTCACTGTCCACTCTGCCTGTCAAAGAAATAAAAAATAAAAAATAAAAAAAAAAATATAATTAGCCCTGGCATAAATTAGCAATTCAGCTAGGCAACCAGTGATTACACTTCAATAAGATTAATGCAGACCTTTTAAACCACTAATATTCACAGAGGACATTTACATTTTAAAGAAAATGAGGCAGAAATACAGTAGCTCTCCCTATTTTATAATTATACAGAAATATCTTAACTAGATTCTCCACCTACAAATAAATTTACTTACCTAGAAAGTAAGGAGAGAAACTCTGAGGCTTTCTTTTATAGTACTAAACATTTAATAAAATAAGAATTACAGCAGCCAACACTGTGGCATGTCAGGTAAAGCCACTACCTTCAGTGCCCACATCCCATATGGGCACCAGTTTGAGTCCTGGCTGCTCCACTTCTGATCCAGCTCTCTGCTATGGCCTGAGAAAGCAGTAGAAGATGGCCCAAGTTCTTGGGTCCCTGCACCTGTGTGGGAGACCCAGAAGAAGCTCCTGGCTCCTGGCTTTGGATCGGTACAGCTCTGGCCATTATGGCCATTTGGGGAATGAACCACCAGATGGAAGCAGATGGAAGACATCCATCTCTCTCTCTTCCTCCCTCCCTCACTCCATCCTTCCCCGCCTCCCTCCCTCCCTCTTCTCTCTCTGCCTCTCTGTAACTCTGCCTTTCAAATAAATAAATAAATCTAAAGAAAAATAAGAATTATAGACTCAATTCAACTCTTGCTATAATGCTATGTCACTTCCTTTTGAAGTTAAAGACACCATTACCAGTGTTACAACATACATATATGATTGTGACTACATGGCTGATTCAAGAGGTCATTACAGGCTGTGTACATCTGCCCTTTCCTTTATTAACTGCAATACAGAGTTTTCAGGCTAATTGTTGAGTGACACCTCAAAGATTCAAATTTTACTTTTTGAGATGAAAGAATTCCCCACTTCAAGATTCCAGGTTCTCTGCAGCATCCTTAAGTCTGGTAAACAGACTGAACAAGCTAATTCCATGGACACACAGTATCTTACATAATAGTTGCCAGAGCATAAATAGATGACTACTATCAGGAAAAGTTTAGGGAAGATCAGTCCCCTACCTAGAGCCATGGTGCCGCTGAAGAAAAGGAAGGAAAAATCAAGAAAAGTTTTTATGCAATTGGTTCTCCTTGGGAACTTACTCTTCTGCTGTAGGTGCTTTATGGACACGATCCCACTTAATGCCCCTGATTTCAATCCTACTCCAAGTTCTCGCCTTTTTGGTCACAGACCACAAAGATGACTGCACCTCCATAGCAGTCCACACACTGCACTAAGAGGCTCCTCCTTTCCATAGGCAAGCAGACAATGGGCCCATTGGTTTTCTCTAGTAGAAGTAGTATCCTAATTATCTCAGGTGAGAAGAACTTGGAACTTCACTCACAATGCTGAAAGGTGTATTTAAGGGAATGACACAGCCACCTTCTGGATTTGCTAGTCTGGAAGGTCAGTGAAGCTACAATGCCTTTGCCAACAGTGTTGCAGTGTGCAAGCACACAATTATTCCTCAGCACTACCCTTACGGTTAACTACTTATAGTTTCCATTTGTTTTTATTGTTTAAAAATTTATTTATTTGAAAGGCAGAGAGAGAGAGAGATCTTCCATCTGCTGGTTCACTCTCCTAATGACTACAATGTCAGGACTAGGCCAGGTAGAAGCCAGGAGTTTCATCCAGGTCTCCCATGTGGGTGGCAGGGCCCAAACACTTAGGCCATCTTTTGCTGCTTTCCCAGGGCATTAGCAGGGAGCTCGATCAGAAGCCAGGATTCCAGGGCAGTATCTTAACTGCTGCACTGTAACACCGACCCTGGTTTCCATTTCTTGATTTGGCATTTTTAAGTGTCAACTGGATTTCTCAAAACACAAAAACTATACTTCCTCATTTGGTTGTCAATTAAGTCATAAAAAAGGCTATTTAAGGGCCCCAGTTACCACTGTTTGTCTCTCTCATTCAGAAGAAGACGTTTTTTTCTTAAACAATAGCAACAGCTGACTGCCTACTACTACAGGAAACTATCCAAGCAGTCAGGAAGAGAATGTCAAAGATTGCACAGAAGTCAAAAAGAAAAAGGATGGAGAAGAGGGTGCTGCATCCGGTAATAAATAGAAGAAATGAACAAAAACTTATCTAATTTTGATGGCAAAGTGGGGAAGACAAAGTCAGGATGGTAGCTTGAAAAGAGTCTAGGGAAGGCTTTTCAGTATTTTGAAGGGCGGGAAAGCCTTGAAAACAGTGGCAAAAGAACACATGCCACTAAATCAAAAAAGTAAAACTACAGGACTGAAAGAGGGGGGCTGGCGCTGTGGCGTAGTGAATTAAGCTGCTGCCTGCAACACCAGCACCCCTTATGGCCTGGCTCAAGTCCTGGCTGCTTCACTTCTAATCCAGCTCACTGCTAATGCACCTGGAAAAGCAAAGGAAGATGGCCCAAGTGCTTGGGCCCCTCCACCCATGTGGGAGACCTGGAAGAAACTCCTAGCTCCTGGCTTCAGCCTGGCCCAGCTCCAGCTGTTGTGGCCATTTGGGGAGTGAACCAGTGGATGGAAGATCTCTCTCTCCCTCTGTTAACTGTGCCCTTCAAATAAAATGAAATCTTTCAAATAAAATAAATAAATCTTTAAAAAAAGAAACTGAAAGAAGGAGATGCAATTAATTCTGAGAAGAGGCAGGGAAGGATGGTATGAGCACAGGTGAGACATTTCCCTTGGCTAAGAAGTGATAGAGATATTAGAGGAATCAAAGAAGAGAAGATTAACAGAGCAAAAGAAGTTCCTATCATATGGTTCAATCATTAGAAAGACTGTTCTAGAGGCCGGCGCCGCAGCTCACTAGGCTAATCCTCCACCTGCGGTGCCAGCACCCCAGGTTCTACTCCCGGTTAGGGCGTCAGTTCTGTCCTGGTTGCTCCTCTTCCAGTCCAGTTCTCTGCTGTGGCCTGGGAGGGCAGTGGAGGATGGCCCAAGTCCCTGGGCCCTGCACCTGCATGGAAGACCAGGAAGAGTACCTGGCTCCTGGCTTCGGATTGGTGCAGCGCACTGGCTGTAGCGGCCATTTGGGGGGGGGGGTGAACCAACAGAAGGAAGACCTTTCTCTCTTTCTCTCTCTCTCTCTCTAACTCTGCCTGTCCAAAGAAAGAAAGAAAGACTGTTCTAGAAAGGTTGATCAATGAGTGGGACTTGGATCTTTAGCTGTGTCAGAAATGTGTACTGATACAATTCTGAACCCATTTCACTTAATATGTTTCTACTTCTTATAAGAACACTGGTCAGTTCCAATAAATTTTTTGACCCTTTAAAGATGAGTTGTCTCCTTTATGTCAAACAACCGAATTTCTTTATTTTCATCAAATTATCTATATCCTTGGCTCAATCAAACAATATTAGTGAGCACCTATTATATATTAGCTACTTCAGGGATGACAATAACAGGACATGGTCCTTGCATTCATAGGGCATTATCAATACTATAATCACTGCCCTTTAGGTTCCTAGGAACCTTTTTTTTGAGAAGTTTTATCAGGTCTTTAGAAACTTCTAACAAAATGAAAACTCAGGATATTGCCTCTACCCCTCCCCTCAGGAATCTCCTAGAATACCCAATGATGCAAGAGGATTTCAAAAAGTTCATGGAAAATATAACTTAGAGATAATGTGCATTTTTCATGTACTTTATGATGCCTCTTTGTACAGAATGATTTCCATGATCAATAGAAAAATAACATTCATTAAGTCTACTTAATACAATTAGAAGAATACTGATTATACCTATGGATACAATTACAATTATTTTGGTAAGCAGGCCTCAAGGTTGACTGCAGGGCTATACAGACATGTCCCGACTCTTCTTATGACTCATTATGAGATCTTAAAAAATGATCTTGAGTTTTTTCCTTACAGAAAAACATGCCATTTATAACTGTCTAAAAAGTCTAGGCTCTGTCAGATATAATCCCCAAAGAAGGAACTTGTCATAGTTAATGTGATGTGTCAGCCTGACTAGGTCATGAAATGCCCAGATACCTGATTAAACACTATTTCTGGGTATGTCTGTGAGGGCATTTCTAGACAAGAACAACATTTGATGTGGTGAACCAAGTCTCCAGCTTTTAAGCAGCAACTGTGGGATCTCTCAACCTCCATAACTGAACTAATATCTTACAATAAATGGGAAGTAACCAGCAGATGGAATATAACCATCCATCTCTCTCTCTCTCTCTCTCTCGCTCTCCTTTCTCTGTCCCTCCATTTCTTTTTTTTTTAACTTTTATTTAATGAATATAAATTTCCAAAGTACAGCTTATGGATTACAATGGCTTCCCCCTCATAACGTCCCTCCCACCCACAACCCTTCCCTTTCCCA